AGGTCTCTGCCTGTGTTTTTTATTTTCACTGCTTCCTCATCCCTCTTTCAAGGACCCCCAACTTGACTGGAGCTGGTCTCCGGCACTGCCTCTCTGAGCGTCAAAGGAGCGCCACAACACACACACACAAAGCCCCACTGCAAACACTGGGGTTTTTTTGTTTTTGTTTGTTTGTTTATATGTTTGGTTGGTTGGTTCCAGGCATTTATGAAAATCTCAGCTGACCTACAGAATCACTAGAAGACCACTAAACTAACAGAAGAGAGGCTTCAGTGGCCACACATGACAAAAAATACAGGCATTGCGAAATTAGTGTGGAGACATCACAAAACAAACAGCCAACAGCCAACATGACCCATACACAGGAAAAGAAGAAATTAATAGAAACTATCCTTGAGGAAGCCCAGATGTCAAACTTACTAGACAAAAGCTTTCAATAAACTATTTCAAACATTCTCAAATTGCTAAAGGAAACCATGGATGAAAACTAAAGGAAAACACAAGAACATGTCTCACCACACAGAGAATATCAATAAAAATATAGAATTTATGAAATTATAAAAAGGAACCAAATAGAAATTCTCAAGTTGGAAAGTACAATAACAAAAACAAAAAAAAATTTCTAGAGGGAATCAATGGCTGTTCTGAGCATTCAGAAGAATCAGAAAATGTTCAGATAAATAATTTGAGATTATCCAATCTGAGAGTCAGAAAGAAAAAAGAATAAAGAAACATGTTCAGAGCCTAAGAGACCTGTGGGACACCATCAAGAATTTCAACATATGCATAAATAGGAGCTGCAGGAGAGTATAGAGAGAAGGGGTAGAAAAAATGCAATGGTTAAAATGTCCTAAAATTTTTTAATTTAAATTTTATTTTCTTATTTTTTATTCTTAATTGTTATTTTAAATTGACTCATAATAATTGTACATATTTATAAGGTACACAGTGATATTTCGCTACATGTGTATGAAGTGTGATGTTCAAATCAGGGTAATTAGCATATCCATCACCATAAACATTTATCATTTTTTTGAGTA